TCTAAGCAGGAAACCTTCATTTTGTTTGCAAATAGTATTAAAGATTCTAACTACCAGCAAGAATGAGTCCTTGCATTTAAAGAGCACCTGTCATTTCAGATCCATCATGGCAGCGCCTGTTAGCGGGCATCCACTCACTTGCTGCCCGCCACGTCCCTCACCTTCTTGTGTCTCTGCTGCATCATCAGCCGTCCCATTAAAGTGAATGGGATTGTCGGTGAGTCAACAGTGGGTCAAAGGAGGAGCTGCTGCTGGACAGAGATGACAGTTGTTCTTTAAAAATTATGATTTAAATCGAGTTGATTTAAATCAAGCCTTTTTACTAGTGATTTAAATCATGATTTAAATTGTGATTTAAATCAACTTGATTTAAATCAAATCCACCCTGATTAAATAGTATCTGATTTAAGTTATAGAGGGGCAGGTTCCCATTAAGTGTCATAAACACATTCCTAGGTGGCTCTACTGTTACTGACATCTGCTGCCTTCTCTTAACTTTAATCATGGTTTTTAAAATTTTCTCGGTAATTATTTTTTTATATGGTACTGTTTTATAGTTTTATTGCTAATTGTTTTTTGTGAGATGGGTAGCTATATGAATTTGATGAATAAACGAACGAATGAATGAATGAATGAATGAATCAATCAATCAATCAATACTAGTTTGACAGTGGAACCAGTGAAATGAGCGATGGTGGGGCTCTCTCATCTGCCTGGTATGTTCATGCAGAAGGCCAACTGTCTGAGACGGTTTATTTTCGATTCCAGCACCAGACAGGGGTTTGGACTTAATAGCCTAAATGGTTTCTTTTAACTCTGTAATTTTAAGTTCCTAATTCTTCACTGTCAATCCATATTTTTATAGATCGTATTCTAACTATTACGTGGAACTAAGTTGCATTGATTTCAATATGATTTTGCTATAATATGATAATGTCAAATTTGGAGTGGCCTCACGTCTCCTTATCCCTTTTATTTTATTCACAAAGATAGATTAAAATATGTATCGATAAGCTTTCTTTATATCATAATTTGTATCTGATTTATTTTTAAGTGATGAAATTATTAACATTTGTAACATATGCTCTTGCTTATAAGAATATTATCAGGTTACTGAATGTAAACTCTGCAAGTGATATAGGAATTATTATTTGATTTTTAAAAATAAAAATATAAAATGTACAAGCGTTTTTCCATGTAATTATTTATCTGAAGTTATTGAAAGAATATATTTGCAAAAAGTATTAATAACCTTATTTTGTATAATAATATGATTTAGGGTGATTAAATTACACATATCATAGAATTATGGATTTGATATAAGAATGTACGGTAGTTCCTTTTTTGGTGCGTGCTTTTTCTTTATTCTGCAGTATATGTTCTTGGTATTACTGTCAGCAAAATGTACCATGGAATTTAAAGGTCAAATGCTCCCCTAAAATAATAGTGTGATACTTTTTCATATATGAAACCAATTAGAACCCATTCAAACAACATCTCTTGAGCCTCTTTAACAAGCCAGGAGAGGCATGAATCTAAAGAGCAGATGGCTGAGCTTCCAGTACCAAGAACTCTGTCCACTTCTCAGGTCCAAGGAGTTCAAACTGTTCACGTCAACTCCATCCAGCTACATCTTTATTGCTGTTCCCTTTTCCTTTATACATTTTTTATTTCTCTTGTCATACTTCCATTTTTAATACAAGTGGGCAGAAATGCTCATGCACTATACATATATTTCCACTTCTTTCGATAAGCAGAGGAAGTTTGTCTGGTTAATAATAAGTGATAGAAAGTCGTAAACAAGTAGAATTTTAAATGGACAGGTAAAGGGCGATATTCGTTAGTCTTGTCTTTAATTAGTTGCGTGAGATCAAAAATAAATACGTATTAAACGTTAGCAAGTGACAAAGGGACGGTTTGTATCGATGGAATCCCCCTCGTCGTAGACGTCCTGATGCTGCTTTTATCAGAATGACGAAAGGGATGTCATGGTATCTCCCAGTATAACAAACTTTGCCTCTTTAGTATTTGCATGCAGTGTCGTGATCCACATACAAAAGCAATGAGATTTACATCGTGTCAACATGATATCACTTTCATCATTCTGTCTCTCCATATCCTTCCTGCGGTGTCTTGGTGTTTGATATTTTTCATCATATCATTTATGTAACATTACATACCAATAATTTGGATTCTCAGTCAACAACATGGCATCATGTGAATACAAAAGTACACATTCCTTTTCTTTCTCCTCTTTCTATTTTGTTCATTAATTCATGCAGTCTTCTTACCTTACAATCTTCTATATGCCATGGTCATTACCAAATGGGCTATAGCTACTGACCTCTACCACCCATCTTGGCTTTGGTCAATTGAAACATTCACACAACCTTTTTAGTGAGATGGGATATCAGCCTTAGTTGTCCCCAAGCCGGATGCAGCGCTCCTTGATGAAGGAGTCAGTCAGTTCTGAGACATAAAAGCCAAGTACACTGTAAATGCAATAAAACCCTAGTTTTATTTCAAATATGGTCACATTATTCTATGGAAATTGGAATCCTAAGACTATCTTACAGGGCAACTTATTGTTGGCTCATATCTCCTCAACTAGTATACTAATGACTCAACATGTTTTCCAACCTTTGTCAGTTTTTAAGATATAATTTTGAATGATGAACTTTTCCTAACACTGTTTTGGAAACTGTGTGTTCCAGTAACCTGATCTTGAAATAAGTTATCAGACATCTGACAAAAAGAGGATGGCTCATCATTTTTGTCTTCAAGCCCACCACCTGGCAACCTTAGCATTAAAATCTAATATTGTCTGGCTTTTTGAATATTTTTTAATTTTGGACTGTTTTCACAATAGTAATTATTCAAAAATGTGTGTGTTGGGACTCTAGTAAATTGTCTGCTTTTTCTCTTATCCATGGACAGACTTGACAGTCTACATTATTTCCTGATTCCAGCAATCTAGTTCAATCCAGCCTCTTCAAATCTGTGATCACTGTAGGCTGTGGATCACATGACTCATAGGTATCTGTGATGAAAACTGAAAAGTGCATTGTCATAGATTCTATATTATGTCTAGTATAAATTCTTGAAAATAAAGATTTCTTGGGAAAATACTACAATTGAAAAATCAGCCTTTCTGATGCTGGAAAAAGTAATCACACGTGTATAAGCCAAAGTTCTTTTTTTTTGGTAGCTTTTCAGTGTAATTTTTGTCACAGACACCCAAAAAATTAAAGGTAGTCCTCAATGTACAACAGTTCATTTTGTGACCGTTCAAAGTTACAACTACTGAAAAAAGTGACTTATGACCATTTTTCACACTTGTGACCATTTCAGCATCCCCATGGTCATGTGATTTGCATTCAGATGCTTGACAGCTGGTTCATATTTATGATGGTTGTGGTGTCCTGGGGTCATGTGATCATCTCTTGCAACCTTCTGACAATCAAAGTCAATGGGGAAGCCAGATCCACTTAACAACCATGTTACTAATTTAACAACTGCAGTGACTCGCTTAACAAATGTGGCAAGAAAAGTAGTCAAATGGGGTAAACCTCACTTAATAAATTCCTCACTTGGTAACATAAATTCTGGGCTCAATTATGGTCATAAGTCAAGGACTACCTGTACACCCCACTCCATGGTTCTTTTTTCAAGGATCAATACATTCTCAGTTTCTTTACTTTCCTGCAAATTTAGTCCCCAGTGATTGTCCTTTTTTAATGTGTCCAAAGCTTTCTTAAAAGACAAGCCTGCCCACAAGTGTAGTGCTGTCTTTAACAAACTTGCCTATGTCTTGTTTTGCTTTGTTCACTTGATTTTTGTCTCTGCCTGCAACTGAGATGGTCATCTGCCTAGAAAGAGCGGAGATTGCAAGGCTGGTTCTGACCTGAGTTTCCAATGGAGGAGAAGAGCCATGTAGACATGATCAAACATTTAGGCAGGAAAAAACAACGGTATATTTACAGATTAGGCGAGACCTGGCTTAAAAACAGTAACTGTGAAAGGGACCTTGCAGTCCTAGTGGATGATCACTTAACCATGAGCCAGCAGTGTGCAGCAGCAACCAAAAAAGCTAACACAATCCTGGATTGTATAAACAAGCATAGAATGAAGATCATGTGAGGTATTAGTACCTCTTTATAAAACCCTAGTAAAAACCTGGAATACTGCAGCCAATTTTGGTCACCATATCACAAAAAAGATGTTGAGAGTTGGGGAAAAAATTCAGAGAAGAGCAACTAAGATGATCAAAGCCCTGGAGACTAAAACATACCAAGAACAGCTGCAGGACTTTGGTCTGGCTAGTCTAAAGAAAAGAAGAAATAGGGGAGACGTGATAGCAGTATTCCAGTATTTGAGGGGCTGCCACAAAGAAGAGGGGGTCACATTTTTCACCAAAGCACCAGAGGGCAGGACAAGAACCAATGGTTGGAAACTGATCAAAGAGAGAAGCAACCTAGAATTAAGGAGAAACTTCCTGACAGTGAGGACAATTAACCAGTGGAACAGCTTGCCTCCAGAAATCGTGGGCGCTCCATCACTGGAGATTTTTAAGAAGAGGCTAGAGAGTCGCTTGTCTGAGATGGTATAGGTTCTCCTACTTGAGTGGGGGGCTGGACTAGAAGACCTACTCTACTTCTATTCTATTCTATTCTATTCTATTCTATTCTATTCTATTCTATTCTATTCTGTTGTTCTGTTCTGTTCTATTCTATTCTATTCTATTCTATTCTATTCTATTCTGTTGTTCTATTCTATTCTATTCTATTCTATTCTGTTGTTCTATTCTATTCTATTCTATTCTATTCTATTCTGGGTTTTCTCTTCTAGCCGGAGGGCTGAATGGCTTGGGCAATGAGCAGAAGCGAGACACTCCTTTTCCGCCTTCCACTGCTATTACGACAAGAAGAAAGGTCAGCGGCCACCCTTGCAAGAGTCACCGACCGAGGACCGAGGCTCGTTTCTCCCTCGCAGACTCCACCATGTCTGGCTCCGCGGGCCTTTTCCCCTTCTCAGGGCTGCCGCTGCCTCAGAATCCGCTCGCTTGGATTTGCACCGGCGCCGCTCTCTTCTGCGGGGTCGCGGCGGCCTGGCGTTGGCGGCGGAGTCGTCGAAGCCAACGGCCGCGGCTGAAACAGGTGGGGACGGTGGCTGGTCTGTTCATCTACCCGGTCAAATCCTGCCGGGGGGTGGCTGTGAAGCGAGCCGAGATGACCAGGCTGGGCCTTGGGAGCGAGAAGCTGCGGGACCGGTAAGCAGGCCGCGGAAGAGCGGGCACCTTCGAGGAGCGGATTCTCTCCCGCGGCTCCGACTGCCTTGCTCTTTGGTACCTTTCCAAGGGAGCGCTTCTTTCTGGGTTGTGATTTGGGACTGTAGTTCATCAACTCCCGATCCCGCTAGGCTGTCCCCGTAGGAATCTCCAGGTAACGTCGGAGGGATTGTTCCGAACGGCTTGCTTGTTTAACCACCTTGATGAGAACGGCGTTGTGTAATCGAAGCACTTAGTACAGCGTTTCTCAACCTTGACAATTTTAAGGCATGTGGACTTCAACTCCCAGAATTCCACAGCCAGCATTGCTGGCTGTGGAATTCTGGGAGTTGAAGTCCACATGCCTTAAAATTGTCAAGGTTGAGAAACACTGACTTAGTAACATCCACCGTCCCATCCCCAGTTATCAACTTCAGTCCTTCGTAAGTGATTGCCAACTGCTTCAAGGGAAGGAGAGGATCTAGTTTTTTTGTTTTTGTTTTTAAAGCGAACTAATACTGCATTAGGAAAGTTTCTTGCTAGCCCGGGAACACCGAAGCCCAACAGTGTCTTTCAAACCTGGTAATTTTAAGGGTGGACTTCAACTCCCAGAGTCAGAATTTTGGGAGTTGAAGTCCATCCAGCTTAAAGTTGGGCAAAATAAAAATAAATAGTAAACATAGGGCAAAGAAAAGAAAATTGCGCTAGGAAATGGATATTTGGAAGAGAGGGCAGAGAAGGGCAACAAAGATGATTAGGGGGCAGGAGGATAAAACATATGAAGAACGGCTGCAGGAATTGCAGGAGTGACATGATAGCAGTCTTCCAGTATTTGAGGGGCTGCCACAAAGAAGGGGGGGTGTCAAATTATTCTGCAAAGCTCCAGAAGAGCAGGACAAGAAGCAACGGATGGAAACTAATCAAGGAGAGAAGCAACCTGGAACTAAGGAGAAATTTCCTGACAGCGAGAACAATCAACCAGTGGAACAGCTTGCCACCAGAAGTTGTGGGTACTCCATCACTGGAGGCCTTTAAGAAGAGTCTGGACAGCCACCTGTCTGAAATGGTCTAGGGTCTCCTGCTTGAGCAGGGTGTTGGACTAGAAGACCTCTAAGGTCCCTTCCAACTTTGAATCTATGATTCTATTATAATCAGTAGAATGAATTGCCACCAGAAGTTGTGGGTGCTTCATCACTGGAGGTTTTTAGGAAGAGAGTGGACAGCCATTTGTCTGAAACAGTATACGCTTTCCTGCTTGAGCAGAGAGTTGGACTAGAAGACCTCAAAGGTCCCTTCCAACTCTGTCATTCTGTTGTTCTGATTGCTGCTGTAAGGATCTTTACAATACAATTGAAAGCGCTCTTTTACTTTCTTGCCCCTGATTTCTAGAGGGATGCCTTACTCCTCTTCAGAAGGAATCCCTAACTGCATTGGCTAGTAGGAAATCTCTCCTTCCTTTCAATAGGAAGAGTATCTTGCTTGCCTATCATTTCTCTTAATAATATTATGCTGCCTTGGTTGTTATGGAAATGCTAGCTGTAAAACCCAAGAATGAGAATATGTCTTTTACTGTGCCTTTTGTGTGTAGAATTAGATTAAGTAGATAGCAAAAGCATTGCTTCAGGATTTTCCCCCAATCCTTTTACAAGCAGTGACCACTGGAAATATTTGCATTTTCTTTTTTAGAGTTAAGTAATCTTGCTTCAGGAATTTTTCTCAACCCTTTTACAAGCAGTGACCATTGGAAATATTTGCATATTCTTCCTTATAGTTAAGTAATCTATTCTCCCTCTGTTTCAGTGACTTCATGGTGCATTTCTGTTTTCATGCACTGGAAAGCACAGGGTGGGCGGCATATGCCCTGGTTAGAGTGATGTGGCTAACTTTGAATGGAGCAGCATTTTTACCCATTGTCCAATTGTCTCTCTTGGAAGTTTCCCTGGATTTTTTTTCCTACACACAACTTCTACTGTATTTATTTTTTAAACAGGTTTTTTTTAGCCAACTTTTCCCACCATACCACATTTGCTGTTATTTGGTTCAGTTTATGGATAGTTGATAGATACAAGAAGAGTCATAGAATTTACAAAGTTCCACTCTAATATTCCACTGGATTAGTTAGAGTTCATTATATTGAGAAAAACATATTACCAAATCCGAGCCAACCCAACCCAACCCAACCTTCCTGGGAGAAAAAAAATGATAAAATTCCCTGAGGCCATGGTCTCTTATCTTTTTTTTCCTACTGTATGTAGTAGCGTATCATTAGCAAGGTTTGCAATAGATTTCTTGTTTTAATTCTTTGTCAAGAGCAGTGTTGCTCAATCTCGGCCACTTTAATACATGTGGACTTTCTGAATTCCCCAGTCGAGTCCAGCATACTATTGAGTCTTGTTGGTTTTAAAGGCTGCAGTGTATTTTTGTTGCTTATTAGTTTCATATATAGGTGTTTTTAAATAATACATGCTCTTTCTTATGTAGATTTTGGACTGTGATCAAAGAAAATGGACAAATGGTATCTGCTAAGAGCATTCCTCGCATGGTTCTAATTAGTGTATCTTATGAAGATGACTATTTAATCCTGAATGCCCCAGGAATGAAGACACTGCGAATTCCTGTTGAACTTCCACAGACAAATTCAATCTGGAATTGCACGTATTAAAAGTTTTAATTTTTCTTGCTTCCTGATTAACAAGTTTTTCAATTTTATTCTGATATTTTTTCCATTTATTTGTTTCCATATATTTCCCCAATCACTCAGACTTGTATGGAGCATAATAAGCAAAAATGGGAGGGGGGGAGAAATGTAGTCTCCACACTCTGGGGTCTTGTTACCACCATCACCCATTCAAACTCAGTTGTCCCTCACTGCCCTTTCATTTACAAGGTCTGAAAGGTTTTTGGGCCGATAGTATGATTGTCGGGCAAATAGCATTTTTATTTTGTGTTATTCAAATATTTGGGATGTAGGCTTTGGTAGCTTTGTTTTATCCCTCCAGAGCCTATAATTTTGTTGTAATCTACTGAATAATAGAGGTACAGTAGTCCAGTATTGTATAGTGGAAATAGAAGTGGAAGGCAGATCAGGAAACAACAGATGTAACTCTTAAAGTTAACACTTAAAAACATCTTTCCTAAAAACCCCACACTACTCAAATTCAGAAATGGCACCCAATCCCACATGCTTGCTGACATCATGTTGTTATTACTTGCTCACTGCAGCCCTCATTAATCTTTAAAAACGCATCTTCCAGCTACTAATGATTGTAGATTCATAATGAAAAAAAATGCCAAGAAGAGTACAAAAGGGAAAAAAAGCTATATTTCAATATTATACAAAATAATACATTATATTTTATATGAAATGTAGTTCAGCAAGCTATCAAATTCTGCAATTATTATGATTAATAATTTATACTAATCATGAATACTTTATAAACTTCATTGAATTTTATTCTTTATTACATCAGTGTATTTGATAAGATTTCTGCCCATAACGGATTCACTGCTAAATACCTGTAGTAAATGCTTTTGAAATGTCCCTTTGTTTTTGCTACTTTTCCAATTTATTTTTTTATTTTTATTCATGCATGTTAGTTTCCACATTCTCCATATATCCCAATATTTTGAAGAGTTTGTGTTACCTTATAAACACCCCGTTAACACTGTCTTCTGTTTCTCAGTGCTATTTATTTTGGTATGATAGGAAGATATTCAGAGTTAAAATAATTATTTCTATCTCAGATTTTTATTAATACTCATGAATGCTATTTTTTTCAGTAAACGTCTTTATACTTTTACTGGATCATAGTCTGAATGTGGCATTCTTTCTATCCTTTTTCCTGTTAATTTAGGTAGCTATTAAATTAAATTATTAAAATTCCAGTGGTGTACATTTATGGAGCAATTTTAGATGTTCATGGGTGGTATGGTAGTTAAGCTGCTTTATATGCAAACAGAACACAGAAAGGCAAAGCATGGAAGACCATGAAATACTGAAACATCAGTAACTGTATTGAATGTCAAGCTTCCAAGCAACTGCAAAAATGTCTCTTATGGTCTATTAGACGATATGGACTTCAAACTCAAGGCAGGGACTGCGGAGATGAAGCAGCTGAATGGATCACTACTTTCCTGAACATACAGCCTTATCGGTTGGTCCATTATGAAACAAATATGGTCTCAAGGAAGCCAAGTGATTTATTGCCTGCTTTTCTACCAAAAGATGAGGTCAGAATACAGTTTCCCTCAAAAATATTTTTTTAATATTTGCATTAGTTTTAAGCTCCGTAAGTTTCTGTTTCAAAGAATACTTCTATAGTAATGGGTGAAATGCCTCAGTTCCTCCTCCTCCTCCTCCCCTCCTCCTCCTCCTCCTCCTCCTCCTGTAATTCAAGGTTGTTAACTGTACTTATATACAAGCTGTACTTATATATAAGTGAGACAGATTGGATTGAGATTGGATGGCTCAAAGTCATCCAATAATTTTCTGAGACTGACTTCATTCTTGATCTCCCCAGCCCTATCCTAACTCTATATTATATAGCAGGGGTCTTCAAACTTGGCCCTTTTATGACTTGTGGACTTCAATTTCCAGAATTCTTCAGCCAGCAACGCTGGCTGAGGAATTCTGGGAGTTGAAGTCCACAAGTCATAAAAGGGCCAAGTTTGAAGACCCCTGTTATATAGTATGCTTAGAATTATGTTCCACTGAAATCAGTATTTAATATTTAGCTAAATGTATTGGGATTATTAAATAATATGGAGGTTTTTGTGTATTTTGTCATCTTCCCGGAAAAGTATGAGAATGCTTGTGACTTCCAGAATGTTTGCTCTGGGATCAGAATAACTCATATAACCATTTTATGTAGCCCTCTTTCTTTATGGTAATACAAAAATATGTATAATTCAATCGGAGAAAAGGTTATATGTGCAGAATTTGTACCATCTTTGTGCCAAAAATGCAATCAAGAGAAATGGAGCCACGATTGTTCCTCTTCATTGTCCCTGTTTGTTGAGGCTTCTTAATAAATGCTCTATATCTTTTAACTATTTTCTTCTGCACATATAGAATAACTCAGGAATTAATTCATTGAATTATCATGCATGTTACTAACAGAATAGATTCTCATGTATTTGAGTTTTTAATAAGGTTTAAGTGATTAGTTAAGCATTGAATGTATAAAGATAAGCCACAGAAATTAAATGATTCATATTATATTTAGTAATTGGAAGAAAATGTCTTGTTTTAATATAAAATTAAAATTCACTGAGATTTCATGATAAAGTTGCAAGGTCTTGAGGAACTTATCTTATCCTCACATTATTCCATACTGAGCAATAGCCAAAATATAGGTGTTTTTTTTAAAGGTATGTTTTTAATTTATGATGATAAATAGGCTTTACTAATTCAGCCAGAAAGACTGGATAGCAGAGGGATTATTTTCATGGTGAAGAATGATTGAAGAATTGGTATGAATTGCAACACTGAAAGCAAAAGAAAAAAAATGCCATTTCACATCCTATTGATTTTAAGCTCATGATTTTCACTTCTACTTTAATTTAAGTACACCTAATTGATAATCATGATTAGAAATTATCTTTAGTTATTTCTCTTTGCACCCATTTTTTAACTTCTAATAATAAACAGATAGTATGTTACAAATAAATAAATAAATATCACTTTATGAGATTTGACTTCATGTGTGTTGCAAGCTATAATTTTATGATATAGCATTTTGTGTGAAACCTACCAGTTAGGATTACAGTATTCAACCAATCATAATTAAATAAATCATGTCTTAATCTATGAATGTTCACAATAAAAATATGAAATAGATATGTCATATTTTAATTAAAAGCATTTTCTGAAATTAAAGTGTAGTTTTATCAAATTGCTGTAAGCTCTTTGGAATGAAAATGGTCACAAGTGAAGATTGGATTTTGTTATGTCAACCAATGGTGGCACTTTGAGACAAATCCTAATCTTTATGATTGTCAATGGTAGACTTTTTTGTATTTATTTTTAAAGGTTGCCTATGCTGAAGGCAGTCCAATTTTGCTGATTTCTGAAGGTTCCTTGAATGATCTAAATACAAGATTAGAAAAGAAAGCTTCAATGACTATCTTCCGACCAAATATTGTTGTTAAAGATTGTAGTCCTTACGAAGAAGTAAGTATTATTATTATTTTATTCTATTTATTTGTATCCCATCTTTATTATTTTTATAAACAAAGC